GTGACATCAAGCCAGTCATTTATGTAACCCTGTATTACAGTGTCTGCAAGGTCATCTGCTAGATTAGACCAGTGAACATGATAGGATCACTCAGTGGATTAGGTTACCTGGCATGCAAGTATAAACAGCGTAAGATCAAGCTGATTTGTTGCAAATTAAACAGCGGGGGCAGATTTCCTATTGTGACATGACAACAGGGTACCAGCTACTATCTAGCTCCCATGAAATCGGCGCAAAAGAAAAGTTAACGCGCAGACTGGCATGTGGTAAAATTTGTGACATGAATTGAAAATAACAGTTTGCTTGTAGCAAACTTGGCAAATCTGGCCTCCAGTAAGCCGTCGCGGCGCCGTGCCACGATGCATTAGTAAAGTAAACAAGCACTCAAATGGTTTCCTTATTTCATTAACTTTAACTGCCACTTTGTGGGTCATTTAGTTTGGTATGCAAATATTAAGAGGCACATGGCTTTTCAGAATTCGAGGAAATCAGATGTAGTAAAAGGTGAAGACACTAATCCAGAGAGCTCCACCTTTGGGCCGCAGAGAAGGTCGTTTCATTTTGGATTGAAGTAATCTCCTTACGAAGGCCACCAAAGAAAGACAACAAAGTTGTCGAGTAGCCAGCCTGCACTCTTTTGGGTAACACAATGGTGGCATTGCTGCAAAGGTGGGCAGTCAACCATGCAAATAAACAGATTATAAATAATTACGGGTCAGAAAGAGACCTTTGAATCAGACTGTGCTACTCCTGATGTTGTTTAGCCTCATGCTCGTTTTTATTTATCAATTTTTTTATTGTATTATATTGTATATTAATCGAATTCAAAACACAGCGACTTTTGAGGTCAGTGGGTGTAACTTAATGAGCGACGTACTCGACGGGGTTCATAAAATTACATCCAGTTCTCAAAATTAAGTGAAACAATAATGGCTATGTGAGCTATAAGTGACTCTGTATGAACCAACACGAGTTTCTGCTGTATTCACATTAAATGTCCTCTTTGTCATGATTCTTACGCACTGCCTTGTATCTGTAGGTACTTAATTCTCACACCACAATGCTTCTGATAACGTCCCTAATCTGACGTTAGTCCAACAGCCTGCTGTTAGTATGGAGCTGCACATATATACATATATATTTGATAAAGACAAATAACGAGTATTTTGATGCTTTACTAGTTGTCTTGAGTTGCCTATGATGTCAGTTCTGAGAAAGCTGATTATGTAATGTGACACGCTCATAACCGAAAAGATCGACACAGCACACGGTCTGGACTCATCGCCCCCACCCCCCACGCTGCCCTTTTTCTTTTACCTTATCACTTTTCTTAATCCCATTTGTAGAGCTGACTCCCTTTCACTCTTATCTCTGTGTGAGCATTAGGTGGTGTTCCTGCTGAGGGTGATTTTCAACAAAGACAACAGGAAAATGTCCCTGCAGGTCAAGCAGAACAAATCAAAGGCAGTGCACTGGATGCAAAACGTCTTTTCAAAAGACTCTTCGCCTCTCTGTGTGGCAGCTTAAATGACCTAAAAAATAGCCACAAACACAGAGTTTACAGAGAAATAAACAAGAACATTTCAGGGTATGTAAGATATCAATGCATATCCCAGCTGTTACAGGGTAAGATGTAGGGTACACAGAGGCAGAGCCTTCAGCTATCAGACCCCTTTCTGTGGAACAAGCTCCCACTCTGGGTTCAGTAAACACACACCTGCTCTACTGCTAAGATTAGGTTTAAAACTTTCCTTATTGAATCCTCGTCTCTCTCCGCACCTCTTTTGTCTCCTCCTTTCCCCATCGCCCACTAACTCGTCACAGAAGATGGCTGCCCTCTTTGAGCCCACTTGTTACTGTAAACAAAGGAAGTTTGTCATCCCCACTGTGGGGTTTTCTCTAATATTGGTGAATCTTTAACCTTACAATATATGGCAGCTTGAGATGATCATTGTTGCGAACATGTGCTATATGAATAAAATTGACCTTAAATGAATTTACTTAATTGAACGCAAGAAACAAGGACAAAAGCTGCACAGTGATCATCTTATCTCACTTATATCGACTGTTTCCAACTAGCAGCCCAGACTGTACAAGACTCAAGCCCAATTTGGTCCGATTTGATGCCTAAATTATAAATATAACTGTCTCAACAGCCCCAATATGTGCCCTTGCCTTTAGGGGAAAGGCCTGCCTCCTTGTATAAGAACAGACGAGAGCTCGGCATGCTCCCCGCACAAGCCCTTGTAAGGCAGAAGTTTCTTAGCTTTTCTCTGCGTTGTGTAAATATGGGCTCCTTGACCAAATTGTATCAGCTGCACACACACTCAGACACACACCCTCTCCCCTTCTGTGACCTCAATGTTGTGGGGTTACACATACAATGGTTTCACTCAGGCAGAGCCAACCAGCCAGCTTACTGACGATCTAGCTAATTCTAGTAGCTACAGTCAGTGCATAGAGCACTAACTACATAGAGGAGCGGGTGTGGGAGGGCGGGATATTGTTATCCCAAAACTTGGAGCTCTGCCCACAGTTAGAGGAGGGGGTTGTTTTCAGGTACTACATCTGTTTGTTTTTCCTTTAGCAGGCTAAAAACATGAATGGATGCAAACACAAGCAACCTTTGTGGCTGTGAAGGGTCGGGGGAAACGTAGTCGTACACAGACGTATAACTTCCAAACTGATCTAAAAACCAAACGCTCAAGATGGTTCTGGATGTTGTAAAATAAGAACTGAAAAGTCCTTTTCTATTTCAAAACAAAGTGGCTCACCCAAAAGCCATAATAAAACTTCCTCTTCCAGGTTTGCTTCCACCTTGTTTGTTCTGCCAGCAGTTTTCCAGCTCTGTTATAATGGTCCTGTCAACACTTTACAATGGTGTTTTTATGAGGCAAAATCACTCTGGTCCACAGGGGATTTTTTTTTAGCTCTACTTTGCTACTGGAAGAAAGATGTGCTGACATGCCATATTAAGATCTATTAATACATCCATGAGGCTAATCAGCATGCACAGGAAATGAGGAAAACTCTCCATGGTTAACCAAAGCATACATGGAGTTCATTTCCATTTTTAGACCTGCTAAACTATCCAAAACATGATGTATGGCAGACAAAACAGGACGGGAAGTAAAATCTTGCCAAAATGTCACACAGAGTACAAGATTACCACAAGCAAAGTAAATTCCAACCTGCCATTTTTTCCAAACAGTTTGTTGAAGTTATTACATTATTCCCCAAATCTCTCATACTAATGAGCTCTCAGACAACTGCAATCCCTGCAGTCCCTCGCTCAGCTTGTTTTATGACTTTACAGATCTTGACTGTACAGTCTTGGTTCACTCTCATCGACCTAATTTTCAGCAGCTGCTAACATGATAGGCACGTCAGCTTCACGAGATCTTAACATCATTTGTAGTCTTTTCCAGGCCTAAAATAAAGCAAGTCTGTCGAAGCTGCAGGTGTGTGACGCAAATGTACACGTTTTTATTTGTAACTTATTAGTAAAAATGCTTTGCATGGAGTATTTGGTAGTAATAATAACAACATGCACGGTTTATCTGTATTGTACTGACTGGAATCTCCTTTATTCGGATGAAAGGCAACCTTCTGATTAATTATGACGAGTAAAAGGTCAAAATGAATGAAAAACACAAATACCATGACTGGATTATCTTTCCTCTCAGTGACAAATAAAGTCACTGTTCTGTCTGCTTTAGTTTTAGCAGACTAATCTGTGGGGCTTGTACCTCCCGGCACTTTCAAAATCTACTAAGAGGAGCTCAGACATATTCTGATCTAAAAAAAAATTAGGCTAGGGCAGCTAAATCGGGGCTAAAATTAGAACCAAAACATGCAGTGGCTCCCCCGTGTAATGTGTCCACATTAGACACAGTATATTTTTTTGTTACTTCTGATGCCTTTTCCTGCTTTAATATTACGCATCAAGTGCACACCAGTCTTTTGAATTCAGCTGAAAGCCTTTAAATTTCCAACATTTGGCTGATCTCAGTGCTGGCCTTCGACACAACAAACACTCGAAGTGCATGTTTGGGATCCCGGTTCCCTGTGGCGGCTCATCCCGGGTGAGCCGGCCAGGAGTCACGGTGTCCACAGAGCGACTTCCTATTCATGTCCCCTTGGTTATGTAAGCTAGGACATCGCGCTAATGTCAGTGAAGGGGAAGGAGAAATTTGAAGAGGAAAAAAAAGAAGCAAGAGGAGATTCGAACAAGGTGAAGGGGAGATGAGATATGTCCTCTGATATTTTAGCTGCTAAGGTGTCCCCTTAAATGGCATTACAATTTAAAGATAGACAACAGCGTTTCATCCATCCATCCATCTGAGGGGTTGGAGCATCTGGAGCGTATCCCAGCTGTCATAGGGCAAGAGGCAGGGTACAACTTGGACAGGTTGTCAGTTTGGGTCAGGGCTGTCACAGAGAGACAGGCAACCATTCACACTCATAGTCACACCTACAACCGGTTTAGAATTACCAATTAACTTAATGCCCATGAACCCAGCCATGGGCGGGCCACATGACAGCCTAGTGCTGGTCACAACCCTGGTACCTTGGTTACGTCAAGCACATGTTGCAGAGCTCCACTCATTAGCTTATCCCAACATCGATCCTTAGAAGTAAATGTTTTCCACAACACCATGAAATGTCTTCAACACACTCTTTGCTCTACTTTATACCTCACTGATAGCAGTGAGCTAGGCAGTGATAAATTCTTTCTCCCACTGTCAATGCCACGTCCAGAAGGACAGAATCAACATTTTTTGTGACTGGCTGCTCTTTATTGTGAGACCTTGCTGCTCTTTTCCTCCCTTTTTTGTGAATTAATAATTTTGGTCGTTGTAGTTTGATGTAGATCCTGAACTACAGTTTAAAAAACACATGAAACAGATATTTTTAAAAAACAGCAATTTTGCAGCTGAAGTACTTTGCAGATGTTGGCTTTCTGTGTTTCATATGTAAATCATCTGGACTCTGCTCACCTATTTGCAGCAGCACAGGCGTCACTAGCGCTGTCTCCATGGCGTAGCAGAACTCCCGACCGAACATCACGGCTCCGTGCATCACCCATCGCTTTAAAGGAATCCCTTCGATCGATCCTTCGCTGGCAGATTCCTCTCCTCCTCGGCCTCCTTCTGCCGCTCCGCCTCCACCTCCCAATCCATCCGTCTCGCCTCCTGCTCCTCCTTTCTCCTCATCCAAGCCTGATGCGGTGGAGTTTTTGCTGCTAACCCCACCCACCAGAGATCCAACCTGCATGGTGTCAGCCTCTGTGTTCTGGGGAGGCATGTTGGAGGGCATGCAAGCAACAGGAAAACAAGCGCACCCCTTCTAACAATACTACAGTACAAAACAATGCTACTCCTAATACTCCTCAATTCAAGTTACTTGTACTTTAAAACGAGTAGTGACTTTCTAGAAGTAACTTCATTACAATCTTTACAAGCTACAAAATGCAATCAGTGGTTGTAACTTGCTAGTTATACACTTGTTACATCTATTTCTTAAGTGTTCAAGAAGTGCTGAATACTGTAACAGATGCTTCCCAGCCTGCGAGGTAATAAAATGTATGTTAAACTGGGTCCTACTAAAACTATAAAGGTTAAAGACACTAAATATTTGCAGATAAACTAATCTGCTATCCCCAGATGTATCACAGATCCAGAAAAAAAAGAAAAAAAATTAGCAATCAGCTGTCCTCTAAAGTTGTCCTCCAAAAACACTGCAAATTGAAATTCCCAACCTTTTTAATCCTTGTTTAAATTGGGAGGAAGGGAAAAAATCTAATAAAATCAGCTTTCTCAAGGCCTGTAGAGAATCTCAGAAAAATAAAGGAAGCAGTTGAATTTCATGGGAAGAGTAAGCGGTACATTCCAAGAGTGGCTTTGTGCACTTGCTTCTTTTGTGTGTGCACGTCAAGGTGTGAGAGAAACTGCTTGCAAAACAGCTTTATTTGGTATGAAAGTGTTTGTGTGTGTAGCTGTGTTTGTTGTGTGTGTGAGTGTGGGTGTGTGTGTGTGGGTGTGTGTGTGTGTGTGTGTATGTGTGTGTTGTGGGTGTTTATGGCTTTTTTGTCATCGAGGTTTGCGCCTCTTTTTTCTTACTGTCTATTACAAGCAGTAAAAATCCATATAGAAGACCATTCAGTGAGTTCCAGAGTCATTTTCTGTATGGAGGGCTGGATGGAGGGCTGGATGACGGAGTGGGTGGGGGCGATCAAAAGGTCGCGGGGGGAGGGGGTCGGAGGAGGAGGGAATGCGGCGACGGTAGGCGGAGCTCCTCTGAAAATCCCCATCGAATGGCTGATCAATCTGGAAGAAAAATGGCAAGAGGAGAGAAAAACAGCAGTGAGCTACAGCTGCTTAAATCTTAAACATGTCCTACTGTTATCTCCTAATGAGCTCGGTAGGTGTGGGAAGGTGCGAGTGATGTGATTTTTCATGCATCGGCTGAGATTAGATGAGGGAGTGGTTTTATTCTTGAAGGTAATAACGATCAGCTGCAAAAACAACAACTGAGCTTGTATAAAAGAAACTACAGCCGTTTCTTTTTTCTCTTACATGATTTATCAGCAAGGATAAAACACAGTGCAAACAGGCTTCTCATAAAATTTGGCACCGATGCATATGCAATCTACACTTATGGTCCATTTCATTAGATACACCTGTTCAACTGCTTGTTAATGCAAATATCTAATCAGCCAATCCCAGGGCAGCAACGAGGTGCATTTAGGCATATAAACATGATCAAAATGGTGTGCTAAAGTTCAAAATGAGCATCAGAATGGGGAAGAAAGGTGATTTAAGTGACTCTTAAAAAGGGGCATGGTTGTTGGTGCCAGACAGGCTGGTCTGAGTTTTTCACAAACTGCTGATCTGATGGGAGTTTCCCACACAACTACCTCTAGGGTTTACAGAGAAAGAGAGGAAATATCCAGTGAGCAGCAGTTGTTTGGGTGAAAATGCTTTGTTGAAGCCAGAAGTCAGATTGCTTTGAGCTGACAGGAAGGCAATAACTAAAAAAACACAAGGTATGAAGAAGAGTAGAAGATCAAACAAGGTGCAACTCCTGTCAGCTAAGAACAACTCCTGTCACCAAAATACTCAAATAACCTCTGGAGTGACCAGAAGGTCAATAAAGCACCTTCTGGGATGTGGCAGAACAGAAGATTCACATCATGGATGTGCAGCTGATAAATCTGCAGCAACTGTGTGATGCTATCAAGTCAATATGGACCAAAATCTCTGAGGAATGTTTCCATCAACTTGTTGATTCTGTGCCACAAAGAATTAAAGTAGCTCTGAAGATACTACCAAGGTGTAAATAACAATCTGGCCAGCGAGTATACGTAGCGAAATACTGGCAAAAAAAAAAAAAAAGTAATGACACGAAAGATTTTAAAAACAAAAGAAAAATGGGAAATCAAAATCTTTTCGAAAACAAGTTCCTATTCAAAAGTCTTCATTATAAAGCCTGTGGATAAGCATCTCAAAATAAACCAGTGTTTCTGCTGCTTTTTACAATTAAAAGTTGTGAAAATACCAACAAAATAATCTTCCAATAACTCACCAATAATTCAAATCTGGACACATAAAACCAAAGTTATATACAAGGTCACAGCATAGAGAAAAGGTCTGTTTCTGTAACTTGGCTAACCAAGTCACACGTGTTTGAATTTGTAAGTGTGAGTTTTTTGGGTTTTTTTAAGTATCAGCATGCTTCTACCACAATTCAGGCAGACACATACGTATGTGTTCTCTCGTATGAAAAGAGTTCATTTTTAAACGGTGTAATTGGTTTGAGCACATGATTCATCCGCGCAGACACTCGGACAGTCTTTGAAACTGGACGGGAAGGATGAAAGAATGCCATGTGTTTTATGAGCTAAAATGTTTTCAAGTTGAGCTACTGTCTCAAACAGAGGGCTTGTGTGTGTGGCGAGAAGAAACGACAGACATGCAGATGAAAAAAAACAATCTTTAAAAAGGAGAAGGAGAAAGAGGAGTACAAGAAGGGAAGGCCTTCAGCTAATAGCGCGCTTCACGGAGAGACAGAGAAACACAGTCTGCATGGAAGTTCAATACAATTTCCCACAGAGCCGAATTCCAAAGTGTGTGTTTTTGTGCGCAGTGGCCCACTGGATTAAAACCCATGGAGACCGCACGATTCATCACACCCAACACACACTAATGCTTGCCACGTGAACAGCACACATGCAAAATAACAGTGCTAAGACTCTTATCGAGCCTCTTAGCGAGAGATTGAGAAAGTAAATAAAATTAGAGTGAGGGAAGGAGAGCGGTGACGGGAGGAAGGGTGGAAGGAAGGAGGGTTTTTGACAGGTGGATGGTGGGAGGAACCAGCGATGGAGGGAGAGGGGAGATGAGACAAATCAACAGAGTTTCTTTCTTTCCTCCACTCCTAGTGTACTCACATGTCCTCATTAAGATTCATGATGTCCCCGAGATGGTCCTGAATATTTTATCGCGCACAAACAGACAGGACCCTCGTCACCTGACCTCACACACTGCAGCAGATTACATAACGGCCCCTCTTCTTTCCGGGCGTACATTTAAAATACAAATATGCCCCAAATGTTCTTGTGAATTATGTTTGGATTTGAGCACAACAACAGAAAGAACATCAGAATCTCCACGGTCAAGACAGAGGGAACGCGATGTGCTGAAAGTCTCCATGTTGAAACATGCCAACAACAACAACACCAACAAAATGTTCCAATCTGGTTGGCCACATATCTCCAAATACTTCATGTGTGATGGTGGACATAATTTATGGTTCCCAACAGGGTGGAGACGCTGCAATTCTGGTCATGGGAAGCAATGAGTTTTTCCCCCCTCCAAATGGTACACATCAATGTGAAGTTTAAAACTACATGAAGAAGAAAAACACAACCGATACAGTACCAACACGATTAAATACTTATCGTGAGGATGTCAATTGGTTTCTTCATCTATGACAGGCCTTCAGGGGCTACAGCCAACCACTAAATTCAGCTCTTAATTTACTGCTTAATAATAAACTATTGAGAATTTCCTAAAGCAATTTTTCTGCTAATCGTTTAATATATTAATAATCAGTTTTGACACCATCAGGGTCTCAAAATAAAAGAAATAATTTAAAAGGGGTGGAAAGTAGTGGTTAAAAACTATATTTCAATTAATAATGTTTTCTTGGTGATTGCAGCAGCCTTTACGAGTGAAGAAAATGAAGGGTATTCTTTTCAAATGAGCTACAGTCACTGACAGTACTGACACTAAAGGTATCAGCAGCAGGATTATAGCAGTGACACACAATAAGTCAAATGTAAGCACAAAAGTAGCCTAGATTGTAGTTTCCAGTGATTTTTAGGCAAAAATGTGACATAACTGCTTCAGTTTATTAATAACTAAAGTAACTAAACTTGCACAGTAAGTGAGTGCAACTAGCAAGTTCTCTAGAAATGGTCGGTTGAGTCGTTAGTTTACTTTTGTCTAAATGACCCGCTGCAAGAGCTTTGTGTTTTTAGCTTGGGTGGTGACGTTTGTTGTTCCCACCTTTTGCTGGAACAATGTATTAAGCTTTGTTGAAGGGTCATTGAAGCAGCTCTCTGATGTGCAGCTCTTGCCCTCAGACATGTCTGGGCTTGTCTCGTTGTGCACTCTAGGCATGGAGTCTATATGACTGGTATGGGCATGTGACACCTCTAAGTCAAGTTAAAAAAATTGCACTGGTATTATATAGCACAGCCTTAAATTTACGGTCACGCAGCTTCGATTAGCAAATGTTTTGCCCAAAAGTATACAGCTGGAGTTTCTGTAACAGTCAAGATTTTAGTGAATAGCTTTAGTGAAAAATGACGGCAGCTTTGATGCATACAGTCATACACTACCACACAATGATTGAATAAATAGTACCTAATGCTCGCTGCCAATTTCAAGCTTTACAACTCTGCAATTTGATTTCAGTATTATAATGACATTTATATAATGACATTTCTCTGCCTGGAAGTAAACCTATAAAGAAATGCATAAAACTAACTGAAGGTTGGACGTGCTTCATTTTTGTGATACTCAAAAATAACTCAAGTGACTGGGAGAGGACACCTGCTGAGCACAAACGGCCGCATTAACCAAAGAAATGCTAAACAGCGTGAGTTGTCAGGGTGAAAACTGCCATGAAACAGGAGCTGAATCAATTTGAATAATTTGGTAAACACAAGAAGCTTTTAATCCATCTCTTCTGACAGTGAAATCCCGAGTCTTAATAGCAAACCATCACCAACACCATGGTCCAAGTCTCTTCTTCAGATCCTTTTTAGGCCTAAATTAATTTTGTGTAGGTTGTAAATATGAGGATGGGTGCCTTTAAGGACAGTAGCTTGCAATCTCCTGCTCAGGCAGCACTATTCATCCTGCATTTGTAGTCCTCAAACACACACACACAGACAGCAATGCATGGTTTCTAATCATCAGTCCACACACATGCGGCACCAGCTTATATAGAACTGAAACTCAGCTTTCCAGGGAGCAACCGAGTGAAATGCAAGGAAAGACTCACTCACAGACTGAAACACAACTAAGACAAATGCTTGCAATGAACCTTTAAAAATCCTACTGAAGAAGATGAGAGGAAAATAAGAGCAGGAGGGAAGCAAAGGAGATGCCTGTGAAGTTCAAGGTCAGACAAATTAAGAGTCTGCCATGTCCCATGTCTCACAGAGCAACACACACAGGATTTCTGACTCTTCAGTGCACACATTAAACACGCATAACCCGAGTCTATTTTAGTGAGTGTTTATTCTTGCTCCATAGACCAGATTACCTGTGACACAAACGTGAAATCAGAGCGAGCGCTGTCTTTCTCACTTCATCCACCTTCTCCGTTCCCCTGATCCTCTTTCTTTTTCAGTGCTGACTCATGACTCGCTTCTGCAAAGCAAGTTGACTTTGCAGACATGAAAACCATGCAAGTCTTATCAGTTATGCAAAGCCGAGAACATCTAATTTGGGCGCAGGGGTGGAGCTGGAAAGCAAGCGGCAACAACAACAGTTGGAGCCAGCGGCTTCCCATAGCACACAACCCCAAACAAACAAATCCTGATTTGAACTTAACGTGAATAACTCACCGAAAATATTTCATGTTTCTTTTTTTCGTTGTTTTAACTGCTGTAAAGAGAAAATTGAGCTTACGTATATGTGATTGTTGGCTTCATTTTGTTTCAAAGGCGCAGTACTTAATTTCTTCCACAGCTCAGTGTTAGGTTTAAAACCAGTTTTAAACATTGTTCTCATGGAAAACGAAACCAGCCTAGAAATTTTTTTAATGAGGAGCTGGCACGGTAAAAAACAACTACTTAGCACTCTGCAAGAACTGAAAACAACTAGATTCCAAATACTGTAAAATATGTTCAACTTTTGAGACAGCAACAAATATTTATTTTAATCTAGTCGGTCTTATTGTATTTCCAAATCACAAATTTAAGGATGATTGTACTCTGGCGATGGTGGGCTACCTGAAGCTGTATAATGTACAGTAGATATTTAACTTTACAGAAGCTGGGACACGAGCCAGGCGTAGCCTCAACAGCAAGCTAACCTTTAGTTAATGGTGGAGGCTACTCTGCTCAAAGGCAGCGGTCCTGCTATGATCCACAGTCCACATCATCACATATGTGTGTTAGCACAACGAACCTCTTTATAATCTCACTGTTTGTCTACGACAGTGTTGGTTGCCACCATGGATGCTGACCGAATCAGATATGATAAAGCATGAAACATATAATCCACGCTTCATTTACTTTAATTTCAGACTGCTGTAGTAAAATGAGAACACGTTGTTTGATTTGTTTGATTACAGTGCAACATATTGCACCTGCCGCTCAGTCTGTTTGTCCCTCACATCCACCAACACCTTTGAAAGTTGAGTGCAAACAACAATCTTGACTCGTAACCAAGACGTAACCACAGATGTGAGACCAGGAAACATTTTCAAGCTATTCTTGGATAGTGAAAATAATTGATAACCTGTTTTATATGAAAAGTTATCCTTTTTTTATATATAACTTTAAATATTAGAAAGGTTTTACTGTTAATCAGACGCATTATGTGAGGGATAGGCGTTGGATTTCGGGATGTTATGATATATATTTTTCATCATTTTTCTGACAGACCAATTGAATTAATTATTATTAATGTGTGTTCTTTTCTCAAATCATCACTGTTTCACATATGTAAACATAAGTTGTGTTGCTGCAGAGCAGTGAAGCACGTGTGCACTCTGTAAACAATGCCACGCTGACCTATATAGAGGTACATATAGATTACAAGGACGCCAGGATCAAATTCACATTCTGCAGGGGCTGCAGATGCTTTTGTGCATTGAGTAAATAAAAATAAAGAGGCAGGCATTTTATTACTCCAAGATCAGTAGCCTAATATTGTGCATTATTATGATTAAGGATTTGTGATCCAAAGAAAGATAAAAAGGGCAGGGAATTGTGTAATCTAATTTCACAGACTGCTGTCAGTGTCATGACCCTTGTTGTACTCCTTCCTGTCTCCTTTCTTCTGTGTCTCTTGTTTTCCTGTCCTATTGTCTCTCTGTGTGTCACTTGTAGTTGTAGCACCATTCACATTTCCTGCAGTCAATTCGATCAGCATCTAAAACCGGTGGCTCATCAGCTCATCACCAGCCATACATCTACTCGACTCTCCAGTCGCTATCTGACAGACATCACAGGAGAGACACCATTATCACGTTTATTGTGTTTGTGAGTGAGTTAAACTCATTTCATTTCATTGTGCTTAGATTTCACCCCCACCTCTCCGCCTGCTCTCAAGCTTCAGCTCCTCAAGCTCACCGGCAGCAGCTCCTTTCTCCCTGCCTGCCCACTCTAGCTGTCTGCCAAGCCAGCTCACCCGGTCTCTGCCATCAGTCTGCCTGCACACTGTGCCTGCCACGCTTCACCTCTCTTCATCACAGCCTGCCTGTTTAATCTCCAAAAAAAAAAAAAAACATTACATCTACAGCCCTTACACCTTGACTACATTCGGAATAAAGTCTCCCTCTGAGTCACGGTCAACTTGTGTCCATGTGGTGTGAATGCTTTTGAGTCCAGAAATTTTAACTGTAGCTAGTCAGCTAGCCGTGTTGACAAGTTCTGTTTGTTGGCACTGGTCTGAGATTCAGTTGTGATTTATAGCAAACACACTGTGGACGAGTGGACGGCTGGCAACTTCGCTCTTACTTTGTTTTCTTTTGTTTTGTTACAATTAACACTTGGAAGCTTTTATTGCACTTCTTCTTAGAGCAATCTAGCAAGATGTAGTCAACTGGGTCAATTTTAAGCTAATTTTAAATACTGCTTAACGCTAAAGTCACGCAAGAGAATCAAAATTATTGTTGCAATCATGTGCCATGACCCTTTAATCTTCTTGCTTTTGAAGGCAGGGACCATGTCGTCAACCACTTGCAGTCATACTGCTATCAGTCTGCAACTGAATCCGGCGAACTTGCAATTTTTTGTATTATACTGCAATTAACTGTAATAAATCTGCATAAAACCGCAAACCTGTTTGGGATTCCACATAATTTGAAAGAAATTCCTCCACAAATGTTATACAGTTTATGCAGGACAAAGATTCGACTGCAAAATGACAGAGATACTCAGCAACCTTCCTTTTATATAGGAATATAACCTGAATAAAGCTATTGGGAAACCAGTTGACTTGCGGTCTCTATTATAAAGAGAAGGTTGAGCTCACAGACTGACTCAGATTGCCAACAAAATGCAATCAAGCTGTCTATATTTATAAATGTGACCGCAATTATTTGCAAACCTTCGCCAAAGTGACAAAGAGTGACTGGACTGCAACTGTTTGGAGACAGGTTTCCTCCAACCAGGTGACCTGTGCACTTGCCTTGTGATAGGAAACGGTCACACAGAGGTTGAGGGTGTTGCACTCTCAATCTCTGGGATACCAGTTTGTCACCGCAGATACATGAAAGCGGTCAGTAAATGACAGATTTTTCACAAATCGCAGGGAGGTTGTTTTCCTATTTGTATTCTACTGTGACTGAGTTTAAAAAAAACCAAACTGATTCACAGTCTCTTACTCACACTGAGGTTGACAGCTTATCGCTTATTAAATACTGATACTGGTTGTGTACTCAGTATTGGCTGATATCCAAAGCCGAGACATGTGTATCAGCAGCAGGAGTCATGGATATTTTAGTATATTTATACATTAGCCTTTTAATTTTTTTCTGTACTAAATATCTTCGGTATTCCTAATACCGCACATACTTATTATGCTATGCTTATTATGACTGCTATGTAAACTAGGAAATTCTCAGGGCCTTTAACTGGGTAAGAGAGTTGGCTCAAGTCAAATGTTTCCAACACTGAAGAAAGTCTCAGAAGAAAAAACCCCTTGCTGGTTGGCACAGTATGTGACTTTAAAAATGTGTGCGCGTCTGCGTTTGCGTGCACTTGTGTGGGAGAGTGATAAAATGAAATACAAATATGTCGCTGGCAGATGTTTAGTGTTCTGTTTCTCCCTGAGTTATCTTCTGTTGTTGTCTACATTTCAGTTATCTACACCCTAAAAGCGGCATGTAAACACGCAGGATGCTGCGCAAACCTTTGCATGTGCAAAAAGACTTGAACAGCCTTTTTCTGTAGATGATTTTCCCATGAAAAACAACCACTGGCCAGTTTTTGGGGAGCAGATGGCAGGGGTAAGAGAGCAAGAGAAACAGAGCGAGGTTGGGAGGTAGACGGAAGCTGGCTGTTAGTGTTATGGTGCAGCAGTGCTGCAGTGCAGGGAGTACAGGGGGGCACATGTGTATCAACGTGCTGTAGCCTCAATGACAAATCTCCTACTCATTACACAGCGCTTAGATCACTATACCGGGTGGCATGAATATGACATAATATAAGTGCTGTTCACTTACATGCACTCTAACACGCACGCATATTAAAAGACTTAGAAGAGCCTCCCACCAACTTGGTTTTCCCATATGGAAAAGAAATAGTAAAAACTTATATGTGATTACTCGAGTAAATCATATCAGGCTTACATGATTTACTCATGAAAGTGGCCACTTTCTCATTACTTTCATACATTGTTTTAGTAAGTATCCAAAACATACAAGTTTCATTATATAATTTTTCAAGGGATCTTATATCTGTTTTCACTCTTGTATGCTTTTCATACAAGTTTCACACAAGACAGATACAAACTTTATAAGATTTATATATATCTTTTCCATATGGGTTATCCCTGTGATGTCCAAGCAGCTCTAAATTAATCCCCAGTCCCAGCCTCACCTGAAACTCCCAGCTGCCTTCTCTCAAAATAGACGCCAAATGTCTCTGCTTGCTTTAACCATCGCCATGAAATGACGAGACACCACAAAAATTGTTTTACTGCGAGTTCAGCCAAGGTTAACCTTCTAGTCACTGACAGGCTGACTAGTGACGTCAGAAAAGTCTCCCCACCACAAAACAAAATGGACTAAATCAGGGAATTTGAAAACGAGACACCACACATTGCATTCTTGCCTAAAACATCATTTCCTTTTGTGTGTTATTATATGATGTCTGTGCATATTATGCATCTGAGTAGCTCAAACAACTAGAATAAAATGATTCCACCCACTTGCATAAGGCAGGAGGTGTGTTCATTTGGTGTGGGAAATGATATATTAGATCTATTTACATAACTCTGGCAAAACTAATATACTAACGTTAACCCAAATTCACTTGAGAGCATAATTAGGAGCAGCTGAGTCTGAGAGACGATTAATCTGAGCCTCCTTGTTTTCAGTCAGAGAGCAGAACTACAGACGTGTCAACAAACCTGCGGCACAACAACCACACAGCTCGCAGTGACATCTAAATAAAAATTAAATTTGCCCAATTCAATTAATTATAAAAGAGTTACACTGGTTATATCTGGTTTTATGGGTTGAAAATTTTCAATCATTTCTTTATATTTTGTTTCCAAGGAGCCAGACTGTCTCGCCATTTAGTCTTTAAAGTCTTTCAAGTTGTCTTAGTCAATAGTAGTCAATAGCTGTTCAGGCTCTCTGAGGCTCTTTTGATGTTTTTGCTAGGACACTGACTGCTCTTCCATCCATTTTCAGCTAGGTCCTTGGGTTAGACGTAGAGTTCATGGTTTCAATAAACTGCTGCACCATTTCTAATTTTCCTATCAAAATACATAGGAATGAGCTCAAGGCTCATTTGTGAGTACTTCAAGGCTTTTGCACACTACTGCATGTTGTGGCTACAACACAGCTAACAATTTAGCAGTAATCTCATTATTCCAACAGATTAGCCACAACAAACAGAGAAAACAGACGTACAGAGAGGTTCACTGATAACGATGGCTTAGCTGAACAGACATCAACAAGTTCTTTCATCAGTGGTTGTTGTGTTCTTGTCCGTTTGACGAGCAAACCAGTCTGCTCACGTCACGACACATGCAAGGTCTCCTCTGGTGGTGCTGCCTTGACTCAACAGTGGCCCTGTTTTTACACCCAGTCACAGCATCAACACTGCATGCTAAATATTATGAGTAGTAGTAAATTTATTGGATCCTGAAGAAGCATCCATACATGTTGAGTGTGGCATCTGTATGAATTAGCACGACTGGTGCGTCATCTGGTGACGACAAGGACGTCGTGCCTGTGTCGCTGAGCTGCCAGTATCTCTGAGCAAATATCTGAGCGACAAACAAGTGCATATTTATCTAAGAAATTACACATTGATTTGTATTCATTTCTAATTAGGGTCTGTGTCAAAGCTAGGATTGTGTCACAGGACTGGAATATTTCACATACGGTTCATTATTTAAGCTCACACTTATTTTAGATTGAACTTTGGAGAAAGGATCGTGATCATCTCTTTAGAATTAAAGAAGAAATACAGGCAACGTTAGCGTTAGCAAATAAAACAGGAGAGGAAAGGAGAGATGAGACCTTGACTGTATGTTGTGTCAGCTTGCTTAGCAGCCTGTAATAGCCTGGTCTTCTTAATGTTTATTTTTAGCCCTCTTAGCTAACAGGCTGGCTAGTTAGCACTCTGTCTGGCCCACCATACGAACTGCAGCCAATTCAAACACAACACAGCTAGCAAGCTTACCTTACACTTCAAAAATCAAAATAAACGACATCGCTGGCCTTAAGTTTTCCAGGTTTGAGGCTAAAGTAAAGACAGCAAGCTAGACTTGTGCTAAAATGTTACACAGCCTCTCTTCAGCTTTTTAAGAACACCACTCTATTTCACATTTGTAATAAATTATTATTATATGGTTAAACAGGCTGAACACCGCCAGTATTATTATACACGCACGTGCCTGCACACTGTTGTTTTAATCTGCAAGGCCTGGTGATCTGAGCCTGTCTAGACACTGGATGTCAGCGTTGTGTCTACAGTGTGGTTAATTTCTAATCATTATTAGGATAATCTGCTGACCCAGAAATTAACAGGCCAACAAATGACCATCAAAGGCCTCTGATGTTAAAGCGGCCCTGCACATCTGAATAGGTGAAGCTGGTTACGGTGAGGTTTTGACAAGCTGCTGACAGCAGATCTGACCTACTTCTGCCCCAGAGTCAGAGTACTCGTGTGTCACCCAGACCCGATACATACCCACACACACACACACACACACCACTATAGCTCAACCACCTCAAGCCCTGCACACTACAGTACCCCCCTACTATACAACATTGTATTACTGTAACCCCCACATGCATGGCCCAAAGGGGCTGCCCACTTTTAAAGAGACCGTGTGCATGTATGTGTTTTGGAGTGTGCATCTTCCCACAAACACCCCCACTGAGGTTTCTAACCACAAGGGAGCTGCAAGCTAGACAAGGCAGAAAAACCCCCCACCAAAAACAAAACAAAACAGAGGAGGTGATATCAATCTACTTTCTCTATCTCTCGTTAGTGCGTTTCTTCTTTCCAGCCTCCAGTGTGGCCAAGCACTGCCTGTCTCAGTACACTTTTGCCTCTCACTGACATTTGAATAAAAACATAACCCTAAAGCTGCCTCTGAGTGAGTTCAAACCTCGGTAAGAACGCACACACCACCCCTAAGCTCACCACATGAGGCTGCTGAAAGCAGTTGAACACTGGTGTGTTTGTTTTTGTCTTGTAACCAACATTATTGTTTCACATCAGCACGTATGACAGCAAGTCATAAGAATGACAAGTGCCTGCCCTGACCAGTTCAGGACTGCACTAAACCTCCAGACGACAAGTTCTGACGCCGCCCACACTTCTGATGGAATATCACACACACACACACACACACATGCTTAAAGCTGATAAAGGCAAATGAATATGAACAACGCTCAACTGCTGCAACACACAACTTTACAGTAGTTGTTAACAGACAAGTTGATTGCGATTATGCAAAAGTATAAATATAATTAAACCTAATGAAACATGCTACTAGAGCAGTAACGTTGTAAAAACTTGTTAGTGAGGATTTATCCAGTGTGGTACTGCTGTCTTATTTCTGGGGGAAAAAACAAATAAACAAAGCAAATATAGGTCAATGGAAGTAAGTCAAGGTAGGTTTTGTTTTCTTGCTTTGCTTCTCTGCTCATTTGTTGTTGTTGTTGTTCCGTCTCACTAAACCTGCTAGCCTTAACATTCGGCAATGAAATGTGACACCAGCAAAAAACTATGTTGCGTTTACTTTAGAAAGCATACAATAGTTACCAGTGCTGGGAGTTTACGCCATCAAACAAAGAGAGGTGCAGTACAAATAACGAATGAAAGGGAAACGACAAGAATAAAAGATTCTGTACGACTTTTATCACCGTGACACAGTCAATATTTGTAAACTAATCCCAAGCATGCAAGTACCTTCAAATGTTTTTATAGGACTGCCGTGGAGATGATTCACAATTTAACAATTATATTACGGTCATGCTTTCATGTGATCCGCGTGAAACTTTAAGAAAGAGAGCGAGACTCCTGCGATGTGGCAGCAAACCAAAAGTTGTCTCAGGTGTGATTACCCTTTTTTCAAACTTGATGCAGCTAACACTCTCTCCAACATTTGTAGCGCGAATCAAAGCGCGCCATGGCAACACAAACATATCTGGTTAAATACACAATATGTCTAAAATCAGGCGAGTTTACTATATTTGATAGCCTGAAAGCCAAAGTCGCAGAAGGACCTGGAGCTAACAGTAGCGCGTCTGTTGCCCAAGGATATGAACGTATAACGTAATGACTGTAGTAATGTATGTATGTGTATTTTCTCCTAGACACATCAATCAATCCTGATTAAACTTACTACATAAACTGCCTAGGGTACCAGGATTATCAGCATCTATATAGCTTCTGTGTAGCAGCTGAGCTCAAAACAAACAGCAACGTCGTTGTTTATGAACAGACATTTTTGACAACCGACTATATATACGGTGATATAATGAAGATAAGCAGAATAACAAGACAAATGAACAGACATGTCTGTGTATTAATACATGAGCAAAGTAAAAAAGGCCTCAGGCCTGGCAAAAACCACCGGCAGGGCAGGTTTTTGCTAGTCAGTCAAACCATAAAAGTGAACCCAACCCAATTCTAATTTACTGTAGAGTACATAAGACATACAAGTACTGACAATTTTCTGGATGTGCAATGGATCGTCTAACTTTTTGCCTCCTTTTTTATTTAGGCACACTGATGTAAAAAACAAGTAAATAAATAAGTGATTGAGTGAGTGTGTTTCAAATGGCAGATTTAAATTGTTTCATTATGCAAACTGTATTCAAAAGGACTAACCACCTGCCATCCTACACTGACAGCCTCGCGCTCATGACAACAACAAACTACATCATGCTGCAACCAATCTGTGGTGAATTACAAATGATTTGGGATCTAATGTGTCTAACAGCAACAGCATCCAAACCTGAGATCATTAGCAGCAAATGAGAAAGGATGCAAAGATCTGCTATATTAACTCCTTATTTAGTTCCAGTATTATTATTTTTTTCATCTGCAGCACTGACAACATAATGCT